TTATATTTTAGTCCTTTAAGGGCTTGCATGAAAATGCTGTGTCAGAGAAGGGGAAGAAAATACAGTTATTACTCTTATTTAAATATGCATGTACATATTTAAGTAGTATCACCTTCCCCTAATCCCATCCAAAATGCTCAGTACTTGTGGAGAAGTTATTTTCCATTTTGGAGCATGGAAGAAACTCAACATATGACTGATCTGATTTATTTATTTATTTATCAGCAGCCTTGAGGTAAAATGATTTTAATGTCAATTTTTTTTATTTATTTTTATTTTCAGAAATTGTACCCTTGCTTTCAGGTTTGAGATTATCAGTTTATTTACAGCAAGTGTGTTTAACAAGTTTAGTTTAAATGACTTCCACTCAGCGGTGTTATAGGCAAGCTGTGAGATGTCAAATTTACAATCTCAACCACGAGGCCGCTCTGTGCCGGCAATCGATGGGGACTGGAATGCTTTAGGTCTTAATTAACGTACACACACAGGCAGTCTTTGATGCCTAGCCATGTTTTATTTATTTTGGGAGAGAAAAAAAAGCAGAGTGTTTCTAACTTGGTATAAAAATAATGGTAACTTGACTGTGAAAAAAACCCTGCATGCCTAGGTTGGCAAAAAAATTTAAAAAAAAAAAAAAAAATTCCTCCTGTTTTCTCCTTCCGTTCCTACAGGGAAGGAAAAGGCAGGCAGAACATGAGTTTATTATTAATAATTGCGATCTTGTCTTCGAATTCATGGGTTTGGCATTTCTCATTAAAACTCTGAATATAGTCTTTGTGCTTTTGTTAACGTCATGAATCTGATTGTATTAATATGTTCTCAAGGCAGAACTTACAAAAGCAATTTTCTAGTCTACCATAAAATATTCATAAGAATACAGGCTTTTTTGTTTTGATGATGTGTTCATTAAGCAGAGAAGGTTTTATTGTTTTCAGGAGGGCTCCGTAGGTCAGAAGCACTCGCTGCTTCTGTGGGGAGCTCATGGCATTTCAAATAGGGGTATTTTGAGACTGAAATAGTAAAAGTCGGGGATGACGCAGCCTCCATCGAGACTCTGAATGGGAATTGTGGTCGCGCTCTCTGCAGCTGGTGCCCCATGCCTGTGCGTCAGGCGTTTTGGGGGGGAAGAGTCCCTTTGGATGGGAAATGGAAGATTTGTCAAGTTTTCTTGGGACCAACATCCTGTACAGTGCAAGTTAAGGCTCTTATTAGGGAACAAAGCAGGAGTCATTTATAACAAAAGACACAATCACAAGTAGTAGTGTATTCCTTCTGGCTGAAACTGTATTTATTTCCACATGTTGAAAGCTTTTATTTTCTGCTTTAAGGAAACAGTGTTCGGATCATAAAGGTGTGTGTAGGAAAATGCATGGAGGTTTCAAGGTTGACAAATTCAGTGAGCTGTGTTGAAGATACCCAGTCTCCACATAAATCTGTTTAAGCAGAAGCGAGTGACTGCTACCTCTGTATTAATAACGCTGACCTTTAATCCACATGTATAAAAGATGGGACATGTTATTGCCAGGTGCTCAGAAATCTTCAGCTGGACATAAAAATAGTCAATGCATTTAAAAGCCGTATGATTCATGGAGCATGCTGTGCTGTTTGGTTTACTGACGAGTTGTGTTTGATCCCTAGGATTAACTGTTTCAAGCTCTCCTGGAGCCTTGGGGATATAAAGTTGCATTAAATCATATTCAAGATTATCTTTGGGGAGTTTTGGAACTCTGGGGTATTTGTCTATAAATTTGGGGTGGAGGGTGGGGGTAATATAAAAGCTCCAGCAACGCTGTGCTCGTGTCTGTATCTGGTGCTTGCCTGGACATCATTTCCACATGGATCCTGTGCATTGCTGATGGTCAGGTGTGTCTATGTCCTTATGTTGAAGTGATCACTGTAGGGTTGATTCAGTGGGGTAGGACAGAGCTGAGTTGTACAGTTCTTTTTCAGCTTCTTTTAAAGGTGGATCTAATTCATGCTGGAAAGCTGCTGCCCATGGTGAAATTATGTGGCAGCCCGTGGAGTACCCCTCCATGGGTATTTGCCACCCGATAAAATTGCTGCTATTCCAGGAATAATCACTGTCCATCTTTTGTAATGTATAGTAATTACGTTAGTAATGCTCAGGATATAATATCCATATGCACATGGTTGCATTGGATTTTTGATAGCCGGAATGCATCGTATTCTCGAAGGTGGATTGCTTTGGGGGGCTTCTTTTTGGTTTTGACCAAATAGCTGCAAATACCTAGTTTGCATTAGTACTCTCCTTTTTTTCATCCTGTTTCTCCCCAGTTTCTCCAAAGATCCAACATAGTAATGGGATATTTGCTGGCATGGAAACTTTACTCTTGTACTTTTCCAGGATGCATCCCGTTTCCCACAGTCCTTGGGATACACGATGGTTTCAGATTGCACCTCTTGCCCTGTAAACCATGCTGCTGGGGCAGGTACCGTATAGATATAGGGCCGTTATGGGGTTGCCTGAGCTTGAGCAGTGCTGGAGGAATCCAAAACATTAGTTTGTCACTGAAATACTGAAATCATGGCAAACCTGGATCTAATTTGGAGCATGGCATCTGAGATGAGAAGTTTCTGAAGTGATAGTCCGTGAAACAAGATAGCCTCTGCAAGGCTGGTTTTGAGCTGTCAGCTCCCACTCATGTGGGGGGGAAATGGATTAAGGGTTTTTTCTGTGCAAGTGGCGGCAGCATTTGCCATAGGGATGCTCCGTGGGCAGGAATGGGAAGGGGCTGACCACAGTACTGACCATGTAAGAGAGCATTGGCCGTTCTGAGGAGGGCTTAGGAATGTGTTGTTTAGGTGGGTTTGAATGGTTATTTATAGGCAAGAGTGTGGCCTTCTCCTCAAAATTTAATTTAATTTTCTTTTTCTGGGCCTCTCTGTTTCACTTAGCTTCAGAGTTTACCAGCATCAACTTCTCATGCATCAGTTACTGACAAAAGTAAATAAATGGATAGCATTTAGGAAAAACCTATTAAAAATCTTTCTCTGGGATTGATGATACTAATGTCCTGATGGAGTTCATAACGTTATGTGTGGGCATTTGCTGCCTATCGCTGTGGCTCTCTCTGGGGAATGGCACAGAAGGGTGACAGTGAAGTCACTTGGGTGCCCACAGCTGTGTGCTGTGTTCAGCACAGGGTCCTCGTTTATTTCTAACAATTTACAGTTGATTTCAGGTGATCTCTGAGGACATGCCACTTGGAAGAATGCAGTCAACCTCTTCTGTGCTCCTATCTTGTAACCTAGAGGAGGTGGCTGAAATCAGACCTGGGGTTTAATGATCAGGCTTGAAGTGAAGTACGAATTTAATTTTATATAAAATGAAAGTTCCTCTTCAGGTAGTGTTTTCGTAGGTGACGTACAGGTAGTGAAAGCTGATGGTCTGTCTTAGTAAAACTTTTCCTTAAGCCTTTTGCAGCTCCTAACCATTTTCCATGCATTTTCCTTTTGAATTGGAGTTTACTTCACCAGCTAGTTCCTTTGTAGGCAGAGAGAAATTAGCTTTTGTATAGTAAAACTGCCTTTGCTTTTGCTTTGGAAGGATGTCTGTCCTGCTGGGGCTGGCCTCGTGGTGGCTTGTACTGATGGCTTTATAGTAGGGTGGCATCTCTACCCCGTGAGATCTCATAGCCTTCCACAGGAGCATGCAGGAGCCTCACAGACTCCCAAGCAAACCCTGGGTAACCCTTTCGCATGGGGTAGGTGTCTTAGCAGATGCGTGACTGATCCAGCTTCAGTGATGCTGCTGATGCTCGCTCCCAACCTTGCACGAACACATCTTAAATATTAAACAACAAAAAAGTAACTTTATTTTCCAATTTTGTAGAAGCTCAATGCTTTTGAAGGGTTAGCATCTTTTACTTTGCAGATGATGTTCATTGAAAGGTATCAGAAGAATTATTGAGTGACTGTCCTGTAGAGTGAGGCATTAAATGTGGCAAATGTACAGAGTACATGTGAAATGCAGAACCTGTCATTCAGGCGGAATTTTTTTAAGTCATTCATGGCTTGACAGTAAATTTTTTTTTTTTTTTAGCAGAAACAAGCTGAGTTCAGTTATTGCAGAGGTATTTTTTGTAGATGTCTGTTGCTACCCTTTTTTATGACAAACCCCTTGTCTTCAGGGAGGTGCTTTTTGGGGAAGCAAAGAACTGATCTTTACTACACAGACAATCAAGGTGATAGCTTTTCCTTTTTTCTTCTCTTAGCATGCATCTCTTACAACAAAGCTGAGTTATGGGTCCTCTTGGTGCACATTACTGTTCTCTACTTTAGTCTTGGTTGTGCTTCATGTTTGTCCCACTTGGAGTTTGAACGACAGAGGCAAGTCTTTGCACAGTCACCATTTGAGCACCTGCTTCCTATCGCTGCCTGTGAGACGCATTTGCACCTTTCTGTTGGTTGCAGTGAGTAAGTCCAGTTTGTCATGGAAGCACTTAACAACTCTTCTTAGATGCTTCATCACTCATTTGTTTTTGGCTAAGCACTTTTCCAAAAGTGTATTCCAAAGAATACAGCACATACTGTTTTTCTGCATAAGGTTTTTAAAGTGGGAGCCTCATGTTCCTTACCATAGGATTCCATCAGTTGATCCGCTGTAAGTCAAGATTGATCCTTTCTGTGAAGTCTTAGATTAATCTTTATCTTTCTCATTTCAAGTGATGCTAGAAGAGTGGAATGGAGGTGTGTTTTGAATATGCAGATATGGAATGGTATCAAAAAGGATCACATGCAATGTGTTGAAGTTTTTTGCTTTTAGAAAATGCACGTGTTTGTAGGAAGTGGTAGCTGGAGGAAAACTGCTTGAACTCTGAATTCCTGTAGTGCTTTTTTACCATTTAAAAAACGGTGCAAGTTTAATGGTGCTGTTCTTGATTGGTTCCTCAAGGTCTTTGCTGGACACTGTATAAAAACTAGATCCCTGTGTGAATGCAGAATATGTTCATCTCTACTGTTGTGTTTTCATGTTGTAGTTGATGTGACCACAGCACTGCCCTTGCAAGTTGCACCGACTTCAGTCCCGATGGATCTGCGCTTGGATCACCAGTTTTCCATGCCCGTGACAGAGCCGACGCTGCGCGAACAGCAGCTCCAGCAGGAGCTGCTGGCCCTGAAGCAGAAACAGCAGATCCAGAGACAGATCCTCATTGCTGAGTTCCAGCGGCAGCATGAGCAGCTGTCCCGGCAGCATGAGGCCCAGCTGCATGAGCACATCAAAGTAAGTGATGGGCAGCCCTACGCTGAGTGGCATGTAAAACCATTCCCTGACCAGGAGATGCACATACAACTTTATTTTGGGGGTGGAGATATTGTTCTGGTCTTGGTAACCCTGTTTAAAGAATGATCTTTTGTAAAAGGATGAGAGCACCAAAATTTAAAAGGGGAATAACATTGAGGAGAGGAAGCCAGGTAAGCCGATGTCATGTTAAACCTTATCCACCCGTCTGTATATATTCAGAAATCCTGTGCCATACTGCCAACAGGTGGCTTGCAAGATCTACATCTGATTTAGAAAATTTGCATAGCCTAATTTCAGTAGAATTTAACGCAACGGGAAGACTTTTAGGCTACCTGTTACTAATATCACATTTTTGGGAGTGGAGTGGCGTATAAACTGCTCACTGGAAATGTGCTGGCATCACAAGGTGCAAACCTTTGGACCTTGGTGTCTCTGCAGTAATCGGAAATGCAGATTTAGCGGGTGCAGGTAGGCTTACACACCATCAGATTTTTTCAGAGTTGCACAGTGCAAGTTTGGCACTGGCCGGGTGCTTTCCGCTGCTCTGTTTCATGGGACGGAGAGGAAATGTAACACACAGAGTAAGTAGGAAGTACAGTTTAGAATGTGACTGTTGCATAGTGAAAACATTAGACATTATATAAATATTTCACAGTGATAGACTATTGCTATGGTAACATAAGCTTTCAGAATTGCTAATATGCTCTCTTTTCAAAGGGGAGTTAGCACTGCACATGGTAAATAGTGTTAATGTAATATTAAAAAGCAACCTCAATTTGACCTTATATAACTTTCATTTTAATACAAAATACATGTCAGAGTGGGGAAGATAGGATTAAAAGTTAATGGTGTATTATTTACAGACTTTTTAAACACAGATATGAGCTTGGGTTTGTAAGAACAGTTGTTTGAAGACTGATTAGCAGCCTGTGTCCTTGGTGGGTCCTCTGCTCGCTTCTGGACAAAGGTGGGGGGATGTGCATGCATGTAAATACATTTATATATGCAGTCATATGTATGCATAATAAGTGTATATATGTGTGTATGTAGTTATGTATACACATGGTTCTATATGTACATACTCATGCACGAATAGCACAAGAACTGTTGCAGAATCTGCGGTTCACATAGTACATTCAGGAGGGAAGGGATGGGAAATTTCTGTGACAAATATTTCCGTTATTTCCTTGTAATTGCATGTGCATTTAGATATTTGTCTATTAAAAATAAGAAAGGGTCATTCAGATTTAATGGACAAGCTCAAAGCATTGATAATAGGCACATATTTTCTCTCATTTATGTTAAAGCTATGAGTGATTCTGATACAAGTCTGTGTTACAAGGAAGTTGAGATCTAATTTCTTGAGAAGGCAGTTAGCACAGTATATCTAGACTGCTAGGTAATGAAGTTCTTCCTCTAATGTATAAGCTTGGCTAGAGGAAAAACTTAAAATAGGAATGATGTAATCCTGTATGAAAAAGGATGACCTGCGAGGTGATTTTACAATAGTAGTGTGTCATCATGACCAGAATTGCTTTAAAAATAAAACAGCACATTATTGAAATAAACCCCATGGTATCTCACAAATAAAATAAACCCAAAACCGTACACCAACATGTAATTATGATGGACTTTCTTTGTGGAAACATACTTCTTGCATTTGTGTTCATAAGTCAGCCCACATTTAGATGTCTCTTAGATTAAACTAACTTTCAGAAACTGGCAACTGTTTTAAGTGCAATGACTGTAGGGACTGCACGGAAGCTATTATTTTGTCCAGAGAACTAAAATTTATAAGCTCACATTTTTCTATTTTGAACTTCAAGATATTCAGCTCTGTTATGGCTTATGATAAAAGCCGGGGGGGGGGGGGGGGGGGGGAGGGGGGCAATATTGAAGCAAATAAAACACTTTTATCCTGTGTAAGTGAAGCACTAGGGTTCAAACTGTGAAATTTAGTATACAAATAGTCCTAAATGAAGATGCATTGCACTTTGGAGGAATTCAGGCATTTTTTAAAAATCAGCTGCTTAGGGTGCATAGTATGCGTCCCATGTGCATGTGTGCACACCGTGCAGCTCCAAGCATGCAAGGGAGGGCTTCCTCTTGCATATACGTTGGATCAAGGAAATGCTGCTTACTGCTTCTGTCCTCATCTTTTAATGCCATGGGTAGGGAGTGCCCAGCACACAAACTTGCCTGTTTTGTGAAAGGTCTAAGCAGATGTGACACTGCTGGGCCTGTCTCTGGTGTGGGGAGGAGCAGGAGTGGGAATGCCATCTATCATCTTTTCTGTTTATTCAAGCACTGAATCTTTAAAATAAATACATGAATCAAATTCTTGACATCCTCTTTGGGAGCTCAGAATAAGTTAGCTTCATTTGATGGTTGGCTTATGGCGTCACTGACGAGATTAAGAATTTCTTCAGTCTCCTGTCCCCGAAGTGAACTGTTCAATATGCAGAAATCTTTTAGACTGAGCGATGTAGTTGTGAAATTTTTCAGCTGAAAGTGTTTTGTAGCCTGAGTTTACGGTATTGTAAGGAGTCACGAGTCCATTACTTTTGCAAATTCTTACTCTCAAGCATCTTCCTCAGGTCAAGATGAAGTCTCACTTTGGGTAAGAAAAGGCTTGGGAACCTGAACCTACCGAGATTTCTGTTGATTAAGATTATATGTAATGACTAGAGTGAGCTTGCAGTGTGCCTTACTGCTGCACTGGGTTTTGTTCTTAGACATCTTCAGTGTCTTCCCTGACATTGGGGTTTTTTGATTCAGAAAGCAAACTTTCAGCAGCTATTGCAAGGTGATCGTGTATCTTGCAAACTTACTTCCTTTCCAAGAATTTGGGGCTCCTGCAGTTTGGCTAGAATTTTCAGCATCAAAACAACCTCAAAATCTAATGAAACAAATGAAAAATTAAAAATGCCAACATCAAAGCTCTCAACTTACTGTTTTGTGTATCTACCACTAACTAGAAGCAATTAATTTGGTGTTTTTCATTACAGCCTAGTATCCACCATTTTAATCTTACTTTGCGAAGCATGTATATGTTCATCTCTTTATGTACTTGAGCAGCAATTTCTGTGTTTCACCCAGTCTAATGCCTGTTTCTATATCGTTTTGCTTACAATTCCTGGATTGTAAGCACATTTTGGATATCACAGACCAATGTGTGTGTACAGTTACATATGCAGAGCAAACATTGCATTGGATCCCTCTTTTGTCAAGACATTCAGGTTTAAGTACTTTTGTACTCTTCCACTTATAGGTGTTGAATATTTTTGTCAACAGGAATTCAGTGGCTGGGCATCTGCTGCTAAAAGTAAAAAATAGTTTTGATGCATTTCTTAAGCAGCTTTTCAGTATTTTGGACAGACATATGTACAGCCAGGATTGCTAAGTTACAGCAAGAAGCACTGTGAAGATTTTAAAGAGCTTACTGATTTTAAATGTTAAACCCGTTTGTTTTCTTTCTTTTATTACTGTGGTGTCGATGTGAACAGAGGAACTGTTCTGACTCAATGTGAATTAAGAGGGGGGGAGTATCTCTCCCTCCCACTCCCCAAACAAAGCTCTACTATAAGAAACATCTTAAGTTCTTCTTAAGTAAATGAAATTTGGCTTGAAAAATGCTGGCATGTCTGTCTTGTTTTTCTGTTCAAGTAGATAACTCTTTCCTATTGAAATCTGAAGTTTGGCATTTTCCAGAACTTGGTTTTATTCCAGCAGCCCGGTTTTAATCATCTGAGGAGAAGATGACAGGATGGTCACAGTCCTTCTTCCTGCATGTGTGATCCCTTCCCTTGTGCCCCCAAGCAGCCTTTGCTTTTCTAGACATTGTATTTTGGAAGAAATAGCCTCCACATAAAGGTGGCAAATTCCAGATCGTGTTATTTGGAGAGCCGGGCTATGAGTGAAATAATATTTGTGAAAGGGAAGCATAATGGACCCAGTTAGAGCTCAGCACACGGAGGGAGTTGGGATCATTGCATGCGGGGAATAACGAGAAAACGCTGACATGTTTAGGGAAAATAAGCCGAGCCTTATGAAGACTTCACACCATATGGAAATAGAGAAAACTGTCTTTCACAACTACAGCACAGCTTTGCAGTTTGCTGAGGCTTGACATCTGAAAGCAGCGCGGGAAAGGAAGTTGGAGCTAGTGAGCAGCAGAGGCTTCTGCCGGCTGGCTGGAGGCAGAGGCGATGGCTCCTCTCTACTGTTGCCACTTACCTTCAGTGTGATGGATTTTCCACTCAGGCGTGGCTTGCCAGATGTGTAACAATATTTATAGCCTTCAAATCTGCCTTCCTAAACAAAAACAAGGATGGAATAAGGAGCCTGGCGCCTGGGCCGTTGCCGGTGAGATGGTGGAAAGCCTCTCTTCAGGTCCCAGTGTGAGCTTTGCTTGACCTTTGATTGCGAAGGAATCGGCAGTGAATTTTTTCCTTTGTGAGTCACTCATTCCCAGCCAAGATCAGCTGGAAGTTACCAAAAGCTTTTCCATTTGCCTTCTGGTCAAGGGCCAGAGTGAGATGATTGAAGAGGGGCAGGATTTGCACTTTGGCAGGGTGAGAGGCACCTGGGGCGGTGAGAGCTCATCAGAGAAGCAAAGGACGTGGTGGGTAATGTGGTTAATCTCTTCCGTCCTTGCGCTGCCCGAGCTCAGAGCAGGGCTCTTCCCAGCTCTGGCTGTTTTATAGCTAAAGCCGGAAACTTATTCAGGATGCTGACGCACGTCAATGTTAGCACATGACAGCAGACAGCAGAAGGGTCCTGATGGTGATGGGATAGCAACACAGGCAAGCAACTGAGCCTCGCAGCTCCTCATGGACCTGAAATCCAAACCTGGAGGCATGCAATGCTATTACTGGTTTTCCCGTCATCTGAGAAAGAGTATTTGTGTGCATCAGTAGCAGAGGGAGTGCTAGTCTGTACGTATGACACATACAGGATGGTCAGAGAAGTCATGGGTT